ACTTGACCATTTATAATATTCTTGAAATTTCGCGACTTTCGTGACAAGAAGTGTATTTCAGTACAATTAACTTAGTGCCCTAAAACGAAGCGATTCCATCAGTTACATTCTTCTGAGCTACGACTCCAATCAACTCCATTCAAACTTCGGAAACTGATTGTTTCAATTATCAATAATCAGAGACATTCCTTTTTTGATACTATAATTATATAATATTATTGTTAGAGTAAACAATATCTGCGACACAACAAACTACTCGAAACTTCCACGACATATTCCGGTAGTCTCAGATAACTCTTCTAGACAAAATCTATTATATTTTCTAGGTAGAACACTAATGGAACAATGAATAAAATAATATTTGAAAAGAAAATTGAGGAATTCTGGAAGTGTTATTAAATTTTCACTTTCAGAACGAAAAAATGAATGACGCGGTGATCGGATTCATAGCGTGCATCATATCAAGTATCGCTTTTGGCTTTATGTTTGCACCTCTTCGTAAATTTGATAGCGGTGATGGTAAAGTTTGCTTCGTTATCTTTGATACAATTTATCATTTATACATTTCATTATTTATAAAAAAAACTATAAGTGATACTTTAACACAATTTTTTCGTTTTTCATTTTTTTTATTTCCAAAATTACAGGATTATATGTGCAGTGGATACAGTGTGCTATTGTATTCGTTCTCGGTTTTATCATTAATATTGTAAGAGGCTTTCCGGCGTTTAATCCGATCGCTATGATTGGCGGTTTTTTGTTTGCAACAGTTAAATAACTTTCTTTTTTCATAATTTTCCTCAATGACAATAAAAAATTTTCCTCAATGACAATAAGTTATTAACCTATGAGTAATTTTCAATTGCTTTTCAAAGAGTAGAAAATAGAGCAATTTGAAGATGGTTTATTATCATTGAAATTATTTTTTAATAACTTATTATACTCATTGTTGGCAATGTTTCAACAGAGAAGTAATTGTGGTAGGTCTGAAATGAAAGGGAAGTTTTTTTCTTGCATTTAAAAAAGAGAATTTTAATTTTAGGTAATATAGCATCAGTTCAGATCATTAACCATCTTGGTATTGGTGTTGGTATGTTAGTTTGGAGTTCTATACAGGTGTGTATTTTTGTTCAAATTGAAATGGGAAGATTAATGAGGAATAGATGCTTGACATGTTTTTTTCCTCCCTTCTTTTAAACTTTCCTCTTCTTCGATTTCAATGCGGTAATTTTTATAGCAAAGAAATAATCTTCATTTCACCTTAATATCAGGTATTAGTTGGTTGGAGTGTAGCACGATTTGGTTTTTTTGGTACACGTCCACAATTAGTTTACAATAATGCAATGAATGTTATTGGATTGCTCTTTGTACTGCTCAGGTAATCACTTTCTTTCAGATCAATAGCGAAATGATTATCTGATGTGAAATATCGCTGTAATCAATTTGCATTAAATCCAAAATTTTAAATGAAATGGTAAAAAAAATAAAATCTTCTAAGTTACTCGAGGAGTTTTTCGTTTTTTTTTCAGCAGCAATTAGTCGTTCATTTTTGATTATCAAAATAAATGAAATCCGCATGAATGAATTCAGTTATGGAAAATTTTCAATTCAATTATAAATTAGAAAAAAAATTCAATCTGATAATAAAGCAGAAAATGAAAACACTAAAATATACAAATACTGATTTTCATTCATTCTCTCTTTACAGTGGATTTATGTTTGTTTTCGTCAAACACAAAAATCAGGAACGACATTCTACCGCAGAGGGTAATGTGATTTCCATGCAGCAAATTAATAGCAATACGGCACAAACGCAAATTAATAATATGAACAAAATCACACCTCACGTAACAAAAGCAAAAATTGGGTAAATTTCAATGTATACATACAGCAAAATCATCATCTTTTCACTTCATTTTCGATATCATTTTAATTCACTTTCTCAATTTTCGTTTTCCTTTTTTTACAAATAATCATTTTTGTTTCTATAATGATTTATACAACTGCATCGGTTGGTTATGATTAATTTTTATTGATGAAACATGTCACACGTCAGAATTATCATCGTCTACTTTAATGATAAATTTGATTTCATGAATTAAAAAAAAACAGAGCAAAACAAAACTACCAAAAAAACATTATTTCAGCACTATTCATTTCTTTAATTGTCTTGCAGATGTCTCGGGCTATCGGTACTTCTGGGAGTTTTTCATGGCTTAATGATGACTCCTATTGTATATATTCAAGATAATGATTCGAATGCATCTCCTAATGGCAAGCGTTCTATCCTAATTTCATGAATTTAACTTCTTGGTTACCAAGGAAGAACTATTGATTACCTAGAAGATTAAATTTTTAAGATTGTAATTTTAGTTTTGGACTATGTTTTCCCACATTTCTGTGCAATATTTTCCTGCTCAACAGTTTATTTCATTGTCTATTGTATATGGATGAGAGGTCGTATACATGCTCCACCAGAACTGGTAACCTTTTAACACATTGACCATTGAACGTTAATTTTAATTTCCTAGTCCGCTAAATAGTTGAAATTCCATTTTCCATTGTAGCAATTTTTGAAGATTAAAATCATAAATAGCTATCCAGATCAATGATAAAAATAATTTTAACATTGAAATATATCATTCTTAGATATACTTCTTTCTTCATCATTTTCGTTCCACTTTCCTGTTTATCACATTGATCGGTAGAAAGAAATGGAAATCGAGTATTTAGATATTGCCCTCAGCTATTTATGGAGTATTGTGGTGTACTGGTATGACATTATGGTTCATTTCAAATCGTTTACTATCACAAACTGTTAGCTTCCCAATCACTACACGGGTTTGTTCCATTTCATCTAATATTGCAAAATATATAAGCGATAATTACTGAAAAGTAAAACTAATTATCAAATGGATCATATGTTTTTGACATTTCAGTTGCCATCAACAATTGGAGTTCTAGCAGATGTGCTAATTTTTAAGGATGTTCAGGTGAGTGAATTTTTCCGACATGTCACTCAAATTTACTATAATTAAACATGTTTTTAAAGTGATTAAAACTGGATATTGAATCAAAAGGAAGTGTATTTATCTATAATCACTTCGCCTTCTTCAGGGCAAGAAAAATTTGATAATCACATTTTCGGCAGTTACTATTGGTTTAATTGGTGTACTGCTAATCGCATTTTCAAACCAGTAAGCTATAAATTTTGAAAAGTAAAGAAGGATTAATTCTGGAATATTTCGCACAAAGCTACCAAATTATAAAATCGTAATTTATTTACATGACGAAGTGCTCAATGATCTTGAAACAAATACCTGAACAACGCAATTGACAAAAAGAGCCTCTCCTAAAAATTCATAGATGAAGTATTATAATTATTATTTGCCTCGAAATATCGATTAGATGGTGTGGCTAATTTCAGCAGTCAAAAATAATTACGTAAAGATGAATCAAGAAAATTTGCCATTTTCCAGCAAGCAGTTAATTGTGGGCAAATTGCTTGCCAAGTTTCACCGTCAGCAAAAATGACTTCCCTGTTTCCAATTCTTGCAACAGTTTAATATTAATCTAGAAATGAGAAAAGCAATCCATAAACGTACACATCATTGATAAGAATTTTTTATCAAATTTGATATTCCTTTCCGAATCCGAAGCAGAATTTATAACTATTAAACTCTTCTGAGCAAGTTTAAATGAACATTTATGATATAAATAATTGTTATATACTTACATACATGCACATAACTTGAGATGGGAGGAAAATATAAATAGTCTTTCTCGAAAAACTACAGAGAAATCAGGAAGGCCTCTAACTTCGTTGTATGTATGCCTGTATATATACTAGTTGTATAGATATACTTGAAGGGGGCAGACAGGAAAAACTGAAAGAAACGCACAACAAATCATAATCCTTCTAAATTTTCCGAAGATAAGAATGCCATATTTTCTACTTGCTATTCCTGTAAATCCTGAGTGGTAGAAATCCTATTGGTATTTATACTTATCAGTAAATCACTGCCGTGTCAAATTAGACTCGCTCCTCTTCATACTTATGGGAGTTAAATGACATGCGGAGAAATCTAATCCTCCTTCTGGAGAAGCTGAATGAATCTACAGAAAAAAGCTTATTACATTTCTGTTAAATACCTGTAATATAGACGAATAGAGCATCTTCTATCCTTGCTTTTTAAAGTATCAAATCCTGTATTCTAGACTCTTGTACACATAATGTGTACTCTGACAAACTTCATTGTAACATGATGTATGGCAAAACAGCTGACTGATTTAAACAATAATTAAGGATGCATTATGATGAGATCAATTATTGAATATCAGCCAATGATGAACACATTTGGTGATATCATAGATCATCAATACTGGGTGATAGAATTTTTGAATCCTGGTTTCTGGAAAAATTTTTAAATACATTGGTTCATAAGCAGTTTCCTGGATAAAAATTAAGTTCTTAGCAAACGTAATCAATTTTCTAAATAAAGTGGCTAAAAATTATTCCATTCTGACTAAAACTCAAGATTTTTACATGTTACACTCATTGTTTATAAAACTAACATAACATGTTTTTCAGATCATAATCGAGGAAAATGTAAATTGAGGCAAAATCCTGTACAAATATTAATAATATTTAACTAATGATTCATGTCCTATCGCCACATTTTATTCATAATTTAAATGGAGTGTGAAAAAGAACATCTGTTTTAGAATATTTATAAAGGATGTTTAAAGAGTAATATATTTTTCATACAATTCGAAATCTATCTATACAGCACAGTTATATGAACCAACCATTATATTATTTGCTGAATTTTGGAGCTACATCAAACTTTAATGCAAAACTTGTTGATGCTTCTTTCTTCGGTTCTACTTTGAGCTCTTTGTATAATTTTGCGTTTTGTACCTGTAAACAAGAAAAAGTGTTATTTGATATCGATAAGTATTTTGAAAGCTACTTCATCGCTCCAGAATGCAGCAGTAAATGCCGAGAAATAAATGTGATATATTTTGCAAAGAACTTTCCTAAAGCACAGCACTAACTTCTTTAGATGAAGAAGGTTTTGTAATCGGCGTCTTTACAACCGATTTACCCAATTCACTTTTTGCTGGCCATGTTGGGAACATCTCTGGAGGTGTGGGTGGTGGATAACGTTCAAACCAATCATGAGCCAACGCTTCATGAGCAGAAATTCGCTTAGCTGGATCATAAGTCAGTAACCTGAAATAAAAAATCTTTAGAATGACCTTTCATTTGCTATCAAAATTTGAAATATTGTCAAGAGTAAAGGAAAGGATGATGAGTTTTACAATAAAGGATTAAAAGTCCAAATGTTGAGCAAACACACTCTTTAATAAATTCTAATCCTCTCTCATCGATCAAACTTGTTGGAAATTTCTTTTCCAATTCTCCTGTATCATGATGCTCAAAAGTCGTTTTTCTTGGACCGGGAAGACTGCTATAACCAGGCCAGATGTTGTCGTCCGGAGTTCCCAGATCCTGAATTTTATACTGGATATTATTTCTTGACAATAACACAGCAGTAGCCGTTTTATCCCAGCACTGCATTTCAAAATCCATTTACTTTCTTAGTGCGGGAAGAAAGTTCGAGATATATCGAATGATTCGCCATTACTGCTTGCAACTTCAAAACGGAATAGCAAGAAATCTGATTCATGCATGCTGTTGAAGGAACGAAAAAAGCGTGAATCACAGGAAAGGTACTTAACCAGGATGGCATAAAAGCATAATATATTGTTCAGAAACTATTCAAATCAAATGTTCAAGTACTTTTACCTTGAGATAAATACCTGCAGAAAAAGATATTACGATATATACTGAAAATTTGATCAGTTTATGACATATGACAATACCTATTACAAAAAGACATATAAAAATCAACTTACAGTAAAGATTTTATTAATCTGATCCATTTCGCCTTTTCCAGGAAACAACGGTTTTAATTTTACGAATTCAGCAAAGATACAACCGCAAGACCACATATCGACAGCTGTTGAATACTCCTGAAAGTTATTCAATCAAATAGACAATGAAATTTGCTAACCGAGAAAAATCAACTAGAAAGGGAATGCAACTTACTCACTGGGAAAAATCGACAAAAGAGATATACCTTAACACCCAGCAATAATTCCGGGGCTCTATACCACAAAGTAACAACGATAGGTGTATATGGTTTCAGAGGATCCCCAAATTCACGTGACAAACCAAAATCGCCTATCTGCAATCAAACCATATTTTGCAAAATTTTGAATTTTTGAAGAGAGATTCAAGGCTTATAAATACCTTTAAGATCCCTTTATGTGACAAAAGAAGATTTGATGTTTTTAAATCTCGATGCAAAATCCATTCATCATGCATGTGTGCTACACCGGAAAGCAGCTGATGAAGTAAAGTTTTCACTTCGCCTATAAAATTCAAATCTGGAATAGTATGATGTAAAAAAGAAAAAAACATAACTATATCTGCTCCGAGAAGCAACTACTTGGAGAGTTATAACTTGGTATGATTAAGTTCAAGTGAATTAAAAACTATGCAACTTCATATCAATAAAATTTTAGTTGCTTAAGGTATGGTTAGTCTTGATGAACAAAAGCTTTTTAAAGCAATCATCTGTTACTGCTCTCTAAGTTTTCCAAACAAAAAAAGAAAAAAATTTTAGAAATGACGCTACTCAAAAAACTTACCCGTCCTAAAACGCTTTCCACGTGAGTGCATGGTGTCCATAAGACTTTTCATATCATGCTCAACATATTCCATAACCAAATAAATTTTATCCATGTTCGAACCAATTACTATTTCCTGCAATAAAATAAGACGACTTGAAACCAGACATTTGCAAAGAAAATTTACAATTTATCATTAAGGACAACTTACTCGAACATTAACAATGTTTGGATGATTGCCAGCTTTCAGAAGCATGTTAATTTCACGAAGCGATGTGATTGGAAAGCCTTCCTTTTCTTTCTCCATTTTTAAACGCTTTAGTGCAACTATTTCGTCTAAACGTAAAGAATTTTAAGTTGAAAATGACATTTAAAAAATCATAGGTCGAAACAAATTCATAACAATTAAAAGCTGAAAACTATACGACTATTGTCATAAACGATCAGGAAATCTACAAAACAAACTAAGAAAAAATAAAATGTCAAAATTACCTGTTTTTTTCTCTTTGGCACGATAAACAACACCAAAAGTACCTTCCTCAATGCGGTTCAAACATTCAAATTCAGCAACGTTTCGGCAGCCACTAATACCAGGATAATAAACGGGTAGCTTGGCTATCAGTCTCTTTTGCTGCTCTTCTTCGAGTCTAAAATATAATGCATTGGACTATAAGTTTTTTAAGAACGGAAAAATATGGAAGTTGCATAAATGTGTATTTAGATGCATAGAAACATGTCAACCTGGTTCGTGTTTCTGGCGATAAATTAGCCATCTGTTCCTCATCAAAATCGAGTAAATCCATGCTATCCTCATCCAAATCACGCAAAATTACATCACTTTCCACATCTAAATCAGTTATTTATTAAAATCACATTTATTAAAGTCATGTTTATTAGTTTATTAACATTATATTATTTGTAAATCTTTTATAATGGATAATATTTTTATGTGACCATATAAACTAGAATACCCGAAGCACTATCCACAACCATTTCTGTTTTGTCTTTTGCATCAGGAAGTTTGCTTTCTCCTTTTTCTTCTTGTTCATCTTCTGGATCACTATCGAACTTCGAGTACTTCGATGGACCCACTGGCGTAGCTAGAGAAAACAAATTAGATCAAATAATATTCTACGTTTCAAATCAAATTGATTACATTAGAAGAAAAAGTTAGATTTTCAAGGAGAAAGAAAAACCGTTTTGCAAAATTGATGGTTGTTCTTCTTGCATTTCATCTGCGCTAATCGCTTGATCAAACTTATTACTGTATGTTTCAGCATGTACTTCTTGCATTTTCTTTTCTACCGTTTTTCCGGCATTATCGGTGGCACTTGTTGCTATTACCTCTAAATAATTATCAGATATTACAGCGAAACTTTTAAATTATAAAAATCGTTACAGCTACCTCGAAATTTCTAAAATTTAAACCATTCCAGAAAAAACGAACCCATTGCGGTTCCATCAGTCTTTTCCATATGCATTTTTTTTGATGGCAGTTCTGCTTCTAAAAGAACACCACCTCGCTTGGGACTTATATTAGCTTCACGTTTACGTGGAGATCGGCTGAAAAAAGCATATTATTCTTGTTTTTTGGTTTTCTTTTGCTCTACATAACAGTGTAAAAAATTTCAACTTTCTTAAACTTTCAACTTAACAATATAATATGTAGATCAACTTTTGAATATCCGTAATGACCTTTGTAGTTCATAGCACAATCAACAAACTGTTTTTAACTATTCCTTTCCATTTGCGCTTCTTTATACAAAATGTTTCCGCGATTCAAATTCAGCATTTATTGGGTGTATCGCGATTTTCACTCCAATTATCAAAAAGAGCATGAAGCGAAGAATAAAAATAACTAAACCTTTTGTTTGCATCTTTTCCATGATGCAATCGTTCTATTTTTGATTCACCATGATTTTCGCGTTCTTTATAAGACATCTTCATGGATGAAAGTTTCTGTGCTGATTTTGAATCAGGCAAAACTACACGTCCAGTAAGCCGTGATTCATGCTCTCGAGGTTGTTGATGTTTGCCAGAAACGTGACGTTTATGGATCTAAAACATTAAGTTTGCAGAAGAATGTATATTTTAGAAATAAAATAAATTGTGAGTAATAAAATTTTTTTGTGCTGAACAATGAATTGTAAATCTAAAAAAAGGAAAAAATTACTTCACGAGAATCATAATCTCTGTTGGCATAATCACTATGAAAGTGCTTATCATGTTTTCGTTCCTTATGCCAATGTTTTTCATCTCGCGTTTTTTCCGGCTTTCTGATCTTATCGCCAGGTCCTCCACGTTCCCTATACTCATGAAGGCGAGCGGAATGACTACGCTGTTTTACAATCTGTGAAGGAGATATTATCAAGGAATAAAATATAATGAAAATGATACGCACTAGTTCGGATAAAACAAGATAAACTGGTTTTATCTCCACTAACTACCTAGATTTTTGAAAAATCTAAGGTTTCCAAAAAACAGTAGAGTATAAAAATTAATTTATAAAGTGATGAACGACAAAGAAAGTAAAGAACATGAACTTCAAAACTAAGATATGCAAATCTGAACAAAATTGGAAGTCTGCTTCCTATAACTATTGCATCTTGCGTCATTTACTGCCATAACTCTAAATATATATACCGATTCTTTAGGCTGGATTGAAAACATCTCTTCATCATCGCTTGAGCCATTTACATTAGACGTCGGTTTTGATGACTTTTTTGTTTTGGGAGATATCGACTGCATTTTCGATTTCGATTTCTTATCAATATTAGTGATTGTAACCGAAACCGAAGATGTATTACCACGATCCACTTCGATAACTTCACGCTTCAACACTGATGAACTGCTCAGCACACTACGCCTTTCCAGTAACTTTTGGCGTAATCGAGCTTCTTCACCCTCTAGAAGAGGAAAGAGAATTCAGCAAAGGGTTTTTATTGATGAAATCTTTAGGCAACTTTCACATAATATTCTTTAATAGCACTGTATCTGTATTATAAATCCTAACAGATGATTCATGCTAGTTTTGCAGTGAGTTTCACACATAACTTTAGAAGAATGAATGGAATTGAATAACATTTAATAAACGAATGACGATAAACTGACCAACATCACTCGATGAAGATGATGAATGTTCCTGACGTCTTTTTTCGACTTCTGTATTACGACCATTCAGATCCGAACTATTGCAAGAAACGGATATTCGCTCAACAGAAATGCTGTCTTCTAAAAGTTTACGTGCAACTAAATACTACTTAATTCACTGATCATAATTCAAAAAAAAATCGTCCACTTCGAAAATGATAGCATAAACGGAACTTTGCAGAAAGAAAGAGAATACATTAGGTTCAATGTGCTATGTCGCAGTCTGCAAAAGCAAAAGCAAAATATCAAGGATTTGAATTTTATCCGAATGTGCATATAAATTGACCAACCTGAGCTTTTCTTATCATCATCGATAGCACCTTCTTCCCTATCGGTGTCTGTATACTGTCCATCATCTGATGGGGAATTCATTTCTCCCTGAAATTGTGTGAGCTTTTTTCGTAATACATTAATGAGTCATGGTAGTATGGACATTCTTCCACTGATAACATCGACTTAAAGTTCACATTTGTGTACCAAATACAAACTCACTTAAAGCCTACTTATTTATTTAACCTTAAGTGAAAGACTACATGCAAAACTCAACTGATTTACTAGTAGTCACTCCAGCAAAATATGCTTGCACATCTGTACAATGTTCTACAAATTTTCTCCAAAATTTATTCCACATTCATTTAAGCATACAGAAATTCTGATTTATTTCACTAATTCGAGTGCGTGAACTTGGAACAAAATAAGATTTCTCCAACACTAGCCATTAATATTGATTTAAAATATATATCCATGTACTTAATACATCATATAACTTCCTTGCTCGGACACCACCTCCCATATCCCGAAGATACCAGAAAATAACCTCTTCTCCCCGCGTTCCCGGAACATGAAATAATGAAATCACGATACCTAACTTTGATTATACCGTAATGAAAATATTATTGGTTGCATAACTACATTTCCCTACATTAAATGGTTTGTTTACTTTGACGATAGATTTTGGTCAGTATTGTTTCTTATGATGTTTATAGTAAATCCATTTTGTTCCATTTCAGTAACTGTCATCCTCCGAGATATTATAAACAAATAAATTGCTGGTAGTTTAAATTGTTTAATACACATTTCTTTCACTTGATGAAAAACAAGAATGTAAGAAGAATTGAAATCTCATATGGTGTAAGAGCACAGCTGTGATTTAAATCATCACTCATTTTATCCATTAGCATTGCTTTGCTTGCTGTTTAACTAACATACGACACTTTCTATAAGGTAGCAATGTAATTATTATTAGGATAGAAGCTTTCCGTCTTGAGAGAAGAAAAGTACTTCTGTCCTTTGAAATGAAAATAAAATCAGTAATATTATGATTTATCTTCCAGTGTTACATAGAAGCTTCAGACTTATTTCTCCCTTTTTTTTCGAAGTGACCAAATATTGTGATGCAATATTGGTCATCGTCACTCAGCGAAACATCTGTTGGGGAGCTTGTTATTATGGTTTTACGGTTTAGGGAGAGGGCGAGAAGTTCAGGTGGGTCTTGGGGATGAAGCAGTGTGAAGGACGAACTCGACAGGGGAGTAGAGTGATGATCTAATGTAAAATCAGGTATACCAATGGTTTTAGCGATGTTTTGTTGACATTGACTGTTCCCAGGGCTCATGTGTCCATTATTTTGCATATTATTCCCAGCGAATATGCAATTAATATCTCGCGTTTCTTGTGTACATTTTATTTTTTCTAGAATCCTTTCTGAGAATTGACTTGATGGCTTCTGAAATGATATCTGTTAATTGTAAAAATGAAGCGGTAATAAACGAATCTAAAAACAGCGGTGTAACCGTGGTAAGTATGTTTTTTTTTGATTATACCATGGCAGGTTGAAATATTTTTCGCTCATCTCTTAATGTAAAATCATCCTGCACAGTATGATTTTTAGTTTTGTGGATTGGTAATGTAATTAGTAGATTTTTTTCATTTTAAATACTTACGCATTTTTGATTGTTATTCTACCACCTTGTGCAAGACAAATATATGTGCAGGGGATTCATTGTATAGAAAACATTTCCATGTCTTAATTGAGAATATTTAAATGATACTTTGTAAACAAACGTTAGCTAATGTTAATTACATTTACTGGGAGACTATCTACCCACACGTTTTACATGCAACGAAACATTTGTATATTTAATGGTCTTGCGCAGATTTGTGAAGGGAATTGTTCAGTTGTAGCAATCTTTTTAGGGTATGAATTATTTTAATTAAAGGAGGAAAGCGGTGAACCCGTGGAATATGTGGTCGTATCAGAAACAGAAGAGAGCGAACGCTTAGAGCTTCCTTTACTTCCGGAAGATTGTTCACTGAGCTTAAACACTTTGGTTCATGCATTCCCTGGTGCGCATGGATTAAAGTATAAAAATTCTGTCACAGGAGCAAGTCGAGCTTTGCTGTAAGTTTATATTTTAACAGATTTCTTTGGCATACTTCGTTACCTCTGTTTTAATGATAATTTATTTACTGTACAAGTCGTTCTATATTTAAAAAAAAAAAAAAAAACTTTGCAATATTCTGGAACATGTTAATTTTGTATGTTAAGGCTCAACGCCTTAAACCTTAGTCACGGCTAACTGGATAGTTTATAACCGTCCAGTTGTTAAATCTCCGAAATAAAATTATTTTTACTGCCATTCAATATAAAAGCTCAGAATTCAACAAAACGGTTGAGAATTTCTTCAAATTATTCTTAAAAAAGATGAAGCACTGTAGTGTTACAGTAAAGTTAAACTGGAATTATTCATTTTAGCTCATAACATAAATTTCCTTGGCAGCTTCTTACTGAGATTCTTTTATAGAATGGATCCACAAGGAACGCGCTTTCTTGCACCTCCGGATGGTTGGAAGAATAAAACATTCATTGTCATCTATCCTCACCGTGGATCAGGTATGTGTTTGGTACTGCAATGTGTTTGTAGCATCGTTTTTCAAGATTTTAGATAACGTGATGTCAGAGTTAACGAAATCGGTACTTTTATTAAGAGAAAAGGAAACCAGATGGTTATTAGTGAATGATGATAAAGAGATTATTGCTCTTTATTTGTCAAAAAATATATGTGTAATGATAAAAGTGTTATGTACTGCTAGACTGAAATCTGTGGTTTGATATCAGCTCGTGATTTTGGAAGCGTTGGAAGTGAATTTGAAATTCAGGCGTTATGAGTGATGACTTTAAATGGGAGTGTTTGCCTGATACGCATAGTGTAACAAATGGTTTTGTTACTTGCAGAAATTGCGTCTGCAAAGCTGAGATTATTTTAAATTTGACGAAAGATATATGAAGTTCAGATATTCAGTTTAGTTTTGCAGGAAGTATGATGTAGGCCTTTACTAAGAACTTTGAGTTCTGTGAAAGGGAATTAGTTATAGGAAGGGAAATCTGCAAAAGTCCTTGTTTTGAATGTATTGTACAAGCATTGTACGGTTGCAATTTCCAACTATATAATAAATTTCGGTTTAAAGAACATAGAAAAATGAAACTTAAAGTTGAATTGATAGGCTTCATATGTGGGAAAGAAAGAGGGGTGAGTGTGTTACTGTTCATCGTCTAAACAATCGGTGTGTGGTGTGCAGGTGATCAGAACACGAAGCGCAAGAAGATGATGGATGAGTGTGAGCAAGAGGGCGATTCCGAAGATTCGCAAGGGGGACGCGGGGGACAGTTTACCGCTAAGCAAAAGCGTATCGAGGATCCGAGTGGCGAGAAAGCGTGTATTGATTTGATTGTCCTCGGATTGCCATTCAAAACATCTGCTGAAACATGCAAGGCATATTTCGAAAATTTCGGCGAAGTCGTCCTTTTTGATGTAAGCTAATGCTACTTTTAACAAGAAATGCATCCTTGCCTTGGGACTTTTTTCTTTCTCTGTTTTTCATCAATACTCCATACATGTTTGAAATGATGAGTTTGATAGGGATTTTCGAGTTGTGAAATGATGTTAATTGTCTTGAATTTGCGTAAAAAACGATTGATTGTGAACATTTTCTAGTTATCTTTGAGATTTGCGAGTTAGTTGAGTTTGCTTTTCAGACTTCATGAAGTTTGCTTTTTCCTGCTTTCCACAGAGTTGTATAAATTTTAAGACGAATTAAATTTACTATTGAAATCTTATAGTTAAAAACTGACCCCAGTGGCGCATCGAAAGGTTTCGGATTTGTACGAATGGCTGATTTTGATGCTCAGCAGCGCATCCTCACACAACAAACGCATGAGATTGATGGGCGTCGATGTCAAGTGAGAATTCCACTCTCGAAGGTAATCTCTTCAGTAATATATTTAAACTTTTTTTAATATATTTCATGTCACTGAAGTATAAGTGTTGCAGTTTACGCGCTGAAATTTATTCTTACAGAGCTATTTTAACATCAGTGTATAAGTGAACACATACATTTTTTTTTCTTTTTTTTTTTCTATTTGTACATGTTTACTTATACAGGCTCTGTAACTGAAACATTGTGTACAAAATCAGTAGTAAATCTATAAGAAGTCTGTCCTTACATTATTAATTTTACTCACATTTCACCATTGATTTAAATTTTCTTTTGCGTGTGACGAATTTATTGTAATTTTATAGGGAGATACAGGATCGCCAGTGGTAACTCGCATATTTGTGGGTCGTGTGCAAGAAAAGACTACTGTCGATACACTCCGAAAATTCTTTAACGGAGAAGCAGCTAAAATTGATTCAAACGCTTTTGTAAGTTGTCTTAAAAAAATCTTTTGTTTTTCGACATAGAGATAGTGAAGGCTGTCTTGTTTTGTTTCTTTTTCTACCTTATATACATCGAAGATTACAGAAGTTTTTGCTTTATCTTTAATTTTTTTAAGGTAACAGATGTTTTCATTCCACGTCCATTCCGATCATTCGCATTTGTCAATTTTTCAAGTCCTGCAGTTGCCAAAGAGCTAATGAGGTAAATATACAAATACTAGTAATAATATTTTTATCTTCATTGCATTGAATTTTTGCCCAGTTATCATCTAGAAAATTATCTTAATTTATGCAATTTAAAATCATCAGTAATAACAACTGTCATTTGACAAATAAATATCAACATTTACAGCAAGCAAATCAAGTTAAGTATGGTTTGGATATCACATTTTCTGCTTATTAAAATATGTCAGTAGTTTGTACTCTAATTAATTATTGAAGAATTTGGAAAAAATTTTTGCTTATTCCAACATCTATACACGATCTTGATTCTTTTGATTTTTAAGACAGGGAGATTTCATCATCGATGGTTCATCGGTAGCAGTAAGTGCAGCGGCGCCGCGTGAATCAGATTTTTCTCCACGATACGGTCAAAGTGCTTCGTATGGATTACCAAGTCAGGGACGCCATTCGCGCAGATTTTCTGACAAATACGGCTATTCCCCGGAAACTGTTAGCTTCAAAAGTCCCGATTACGTTAGTATAAATGCTTTGTTATCGGAAATGGAATTGCCATAGTGAACTTATTGTATTCCATTTTGCATAATTTCTACTTGAAGATAATAAACAATAAATTGTTCCAGACATCTTATCCATACGATCCTATGGTATCTCGTTCAGTGGATAATTGGCGTGCTAATACCTATCGTTCATCGGATACGCGTGCATCAAATCGTTTTTCACCTGGTTATTCCAATTCTCCTCGCTATTCAACACCGGCACGTTCAGGTACAAGCCAAGCATTGGCATCTGGATTGGATGCGTTGAATTTGAACAAAATGAATGTAAATCCGGATATGATGGATGCCGCGTGGCAAGCTTTTTGGAGTACTTTGAGTAATAATAGCAGTAATGCTGGCAGTGGCACACCTTCTGCTACCAATTCAAATGGGAAATGGTAAAGATGAACCCATCACTGGCAGATCTCACCCGATTTGCTTTGTGTTCAATCGAACTATTTATTCCAACAAAGAATTCAACCTATTACTTCCTCAATGTTTAAAACATTAACATGAATTTTAAAGTAGTCTTTGTTAAAAGGAGGACATGTCGTTTATCATATTCGAAATGTATTCTTTCCATTTTAGAAGGATCAGTGAAGCTCACAAAAACATAGCTTCGACAACCTTGAATAAATTATTGGAATGCTCCCTGAAATTTGTATTGTGGGCTGCATTTTGTGGCCCGGAAATCTTTTTCTAGCGGCATTCCTTTTTCATCAAGGTCCAGGCTTATTTATTCCTTCATTATCATTCTCATAAATGTTGCGTCATTTCGTTTATTTTTATTCTGTGACCGCTTCTTGGGAAAAAAACTTCGAACTTTTGGAATATTTTTGATCAAGTTTTCTATAGAAACTCTGTTATAGAGAGGAATAAGGAAAGGAGTAAGATTTCCTTTCTTCCGCAAAAATTCAGATTTTTCATTTCTTTTGGTTGTTTTTTTCTCATTTTATCAGCTTAAAGTGTAGACAGTTCAGTGGTAATTTGCTTATTTCTTATTTTAACTCTTTTTCTTAGAGTGTTTTACGACCTGAATACATATATATATATATTTTGATTAAAGTTTGGAAACAAAAAACAAATGTAAGCAACGTACAATGAAACATAGGCACTCGAAACAGCTAAAGGTCTTTAAAACTCTTGGAAATAAGAAATCAATCACGGAAACTGAACATCTTTTTTTTAGATTTCAGATAACGCATAGTAGTTTGTTGCTCTGAAATCCATTTTAGCAGATAGTGATGCAGTCACATCGACACTGACATGAGTGATTTTCAATATGTTTGTGAATCAGCTTGGATGGATAACTGGTGTCAGGGCACTGTGATTTGCCACAATCACACTCGCATTCCGGACAATCTAAAAATGAAATATGCGTTGCAAAAAGTTGATTTATTATAGCATTCATGCTCTTAGATCCATGCGTAGCATATGGTTGCTTTCATGAATGATTCTGCTTATACTGGACAGTCATGCAGTTGTGTTTCAACTGCTAAATGATTCAGCCTTTGGAGATTATTTTACATTTCATTACCCTTATTTACATAGCTAATTATAATGTTTCGAGTTGTATTGATATGAGGTGTGCAAGATTTCAAACTATGATTGTGTTTCGTTGATACAAGATTTTGATGTTTGATTAGATTTCTCTAACAACTGAAAAATTAGTGGAACACAAACCTTGCGATTTGTGTATCTTTCCTACAGATGAACCGATTGGACAAATTTCCATTTTCCAAATCAGATCGAACAATGTATTGTTGGAATTATATTGATGCCAACACTGCAATCCTCTATAGACCAAGTCATTGGCTATTTCATGTTCAAAATTTTCGGTCGGTTGATTAAGACGATCATTTATACAGGCATTAGCATCTATGATTGTATTCTTTGATGTACAACATATTGGATCCCACCTGAAAAAGAAAGAATGCTGAAATGAATTTCACATCTGAACAAAATGATCCTGCTGCTCTCTCCTAGTGATGAGGTGTATAGAAAAGGAAAAAAAGGAAGTTATCAATTCTCTAAAGTATTACAAAATTTAAATGATTCGCTAAATTTCATACTTGAGAAGGATGTATTGGAGCTTGAGAATTTTGTTACCACAAGACAGGAAGGAAGGATGAATTTATTTCAGTCAATCACAGAATGACTTTCAATTAATTGTCCCAAAAGCTACAAATAAAAATGCAAGAATGTTAAAAGTTCTTTTATAGATTAATTTCTTCATAACATTTAATGAAATGTCTTACCTTAAAATTTAAACCAGTTTTGACTAAATTAGAAGGGATGAATGAATTTTAATAATGCGATAGAATTCATTTTTAATCACATTCCATCATTTTGTATCAAAGAATTAAATATCACATATTTCATCTTTTTTCATGAAATAACGATAACATACAATGTGACTCTTGTGGAATCTTCAATAACATATAAATTGAAGCCTGCAAGCCATGTCTGCCCGGAACAACCTTCTGCTATACCGGAACATTGAGGTACACTTTGTAATCGAATGCATTTAATCTTAAATGTATTTTTAAGGAAAAGTAAAACGGAATATTAAAACATGATAGAGATAACAGAATTAATTCCGGATTTAAAATCCTACCAGGACCTATCACCACATCATGATGCACAGGTTCCAGTATTTTTTTTTTTAATTTTTTATACCACAAAGCTAGGCTATCATAAATTGTTTATCAATGAAGCAGATGACGATCGAAAATGAAATTCAGCATATTTACAGATATGGATTTTAATGATACAGATGAGATATACTCAATAATAAAGATAACACAATCATTTGTTTAAAAAATCTCTCAAAAATAAACGATCTTTCGCATAAAAGTTGAGAAATAGATGCTTTTCAAATTTTCATTACTTTTTACTTCGTGATATGTCTATCAATTATGTAACTGATATTTTCCAATAGTAACTACTCTGAAACGAACATCAATGAAAATGAAATGAAAAAAAAAATTCTAAAAAATATCTACCAATTGTGTATTTTGTTCAATAAGTTCACACTGTATTAATAAGGAGCCTAATTTTCCATTATGCTTGGATGATCGTTGTATTTTCGATACTCGATAGCCTGGTTTACACACCAATGAATAGTCAATTGCAGCAAATGTAAAGATATTATTGAATGTATCTCCGAAAATGTACCAAAATAAGAGGAACCAATGATGATCGATATACATGTTTATGTGAAACGTGATCTGAATGGACTGTGTATTTTCACTTTCATCTTACTCGTTTCCATATATATTTGTTAAGAGATGAAGAAGGATGGAAATATGCAAACAGAGAAGATCCGATGGTCACTCATCAGCTGTCTGTCCTTCACATGTCAATTATATTCCTTCTCTACAATCCGTCTTTTTATCCACTTCTTTTAATGTGCCGCATCTCAATACGTCTAGTTGATCGTTGATATTTGTCGTAAAATTTCCTTCAAACATTGAATTAATTAACGGCAAGCTGATCGATTCAACTTTTTTAATGCCAATTGATGAAATTGCATGAAATGAAAGAAGTGAAAAATGCACTGAGTAAATGAATCATAACCATTAAATTGATATTTGAAGTTCCAGTTCCTGATATTCGCAAGTTCTCGGGGTATATCGCTTCTGGCAGACTATAAACGAGTTAAGAGCTCAGAGACTAGCTTCGAGACTCAATGACATCACAACAAATTTGCTCCCGAATCAGTAATTTTACTTATGTACGAATTTTAATCTTGCTTATTGTGAGAATGAGTGTGAATACTTACCTATTACTAATTTTCTGAAATCCTTACTCCTGTTTGCATTAAATCAAGACTTAATGAATTTACTGATTCACCATTTCAAATAGGCATTCACCTTTCCAAGTTTATTTATATAGCTAAGATACATTAAAGACAACAGGAAAAACCAATATTAAAAGTTTTAATGACAGTTACAACATGAACAAGAAAGAAGGAAATGAAAAATCACTTCACTATTATTGAAGCGCATTATTTAACATATCAAGAATGTCGTGCATTGCAGCACCCAATTTCTTAAAAGGAAGAACCTAATCCTTTGAAGCATTTCACTATTCAAACGTATCACGGTAATAAAAATTAAACTGAAATTCAAAAACATAAGTGCCAGTCAAAAACTTACTTCGTTTTCATAAATAAATGTATAAGAAATTTGGCGGAAAATCGAATTCCATGGAAATGAATTCAGTAGGACTGTCAAATAGATAGCAGTCACACTTGTCAAACTAGCTTAAAACATAATGAGTCTATATTCCCAAAAGAATTCATTGCAAACAAAAATGCATATAGCGAATAACAAATTAAACTTTAGATTTCTGATCGTCTATATTCTCAAAAGAGAATTTATTACAAGTAAGAATACATACAACGAGTAATAAATTAAACTTTAGGTTTCTGATCGAGGAAGACCACACATAGAACAATCTGTCCGCGCCACCAAATTTTCGAATGTGCAATGCTTGCACGACCATTTATTGCTTGATTCGGTTGTTGATGACTCTAAAAAGAATTGTTATACTAATCTAACTCATTCTTTTGTAAACTACATGATTAGTCAATCATAGTTTTATATATATGAAAAACCTGAATAAAAGAAATTTTTGTCGGTTTTTTATTTACCAGATAACCTTTTAAAATGCTCCTGAAAATCTGTTAAAAAATCAGTATTTTCACCTTGCAATGAATGAAGACATAAAGTTGACAGCGTTGCCCAGTTAGTGTTGCTAGATGCCCAATCAATCGCTTTACCTCGATCTTGCTGTTGAACTATGTCACAAAGGGACTTAATCTCCTCCTGAAATTTGCCTCATTATATTGTATTATGTCTTGTACGTCTTATATTACGTTATGCCTCTTATATTACTTACATTACCTCATCATATTATGCTTCTTATATTACCATAATATGACTTCTTTACTTGATGATGCTAATTATGTTTTGCGTCCTGATTTGAATGTTTTCACTATTCAGGATAAAATTTTTCGGCCCATGCGATTCAAAATTATGGCGAATCTATTTCAAAAAAAAGAAAAAAAAACAGAGACAGTTGCCCACCTTAGAGAATTTAACTATATCATTATTAAGAAGGAAAAGAAGAAAATGGAAATTCGTTGCCAATTCAATGAATTGATTCTGTGAAAATTCAGATATGTATCGACCAACTGCTTTTGAATCCTAAAACAGGAATTTTGAAAACTGTCTGAATGAACAATGAGGAAAACACCTTACGATGATATAAATCTTATTAAACTGTAAAAATTACAAAAATTGTTGAAGTTACCAAGCTATTAACAGTATTCTCTCATGAATACAACTCAAATGCAACTCAAATAAGTTGTACGAGATGCAGCCTTCTGTATCTTACTGAAGTGACAATTACTTAGCAGATATGGCACTGTCATAACTATGGCTTAGAAAAGTTCATTTTGACTGCTAAAAAAATGAACATTTGAATGTTTCCTAAAATTTTTGTTTTAAAGACGAGAAAAAATAGCAAACTACAAGTAATGTGAAAGGATCCCAAATGAATATGCACCTGCAATTCACCAATTAAAATACGATTTTCGGTTGGAAAATAACATTTTTTTGAAGAATTAAATGTGGCGCGTGGCTCCTTTGGCATTCCTGCCGGAACATCAACAAGTAAATACTCAACAGGCATCGGACGGCCATTTTTTCTTGTTTCAACGCCGTATTCATTCTTTTCCTATAAATAGATTTATATAAACAAACAGAAAAAGACAGAGTTGATAAAGCGACAGAAGTCAATACAACAAACCATATAATAGACATCAGTGATGTACTGTGATGGAGTTAAGGGCACTTCACGCAGGTAAGCCAACTCAGGATGAGAGGTTGGACACAACAAATTTGCGTCAACAAGAGAAGCACATTGATTAGAAACTTGATAACCACTAAAATCAATCTGATTCCATTCGTTACCTGGAAATTATTTCATTAAATGTATATATATATCATAGCTTCGAGTTTATATCAAATTCTTTCGCATATTGATTATGATTTCATGTTTTAGTTTTCTTCTAGGATACCACATGTCATTTTAAGTTTTAGTTTTGATGTTATAAGAGTAGATTGCATCTTACAGTGTTTTTTAAGCGGGTATAGATTACAAATGAATAGATTTCTAGACAAAATCAGTTGCATTATATAACAGTCTTCCAAAAAGCAACAAAATAAAAGTTCTAAATTAGAATATTAGTTTCAGTTTAAACGATATAAAGTTGATCAATCATTTTGAAAAACGGACCTGACGCAACAACAGTGGTAAATTTAGAGCCAAAATATCCATCAGTGCAAAAAGTGGTTACGTTAGGATATTTATTTTGTAACCAACCAGCTGTAATGCATTCCTGTGCAGTAAGGAAGAAAGAATCCTGAAATAAAAAACAAAGTTTCCAAACCATTAATTTTCTGGAAGTAAAGCATTTAATTTAGTCAAAAAAAATAATGGAACATTGAAACCTTATGTCGTGTACAACAAACAGTGCCTTTAGATGAATCTGCAGACCATAAATCAGTGAAAATCCAACCAACGCGTTTCAAGTTAAGGTAGGAACAAAGCTCATCTACCAACTTTTCTTGTGGATCGGCTTCTAGACTTACTGAATCGGCCGAACAGGACTATAAGCATCACGAATTTGAAAAACAGGAGTAAAATCTCGAAAAAAAAATACAAGGTCAATTATATGAACTTAACAAAAAGAAAGCCAAACCTGCGGTGGCTCATAAATAGCAGCAACTGTTGCCTTAATCCCAAGCGGAATCTCTTGAAAAGGTTCGTAACGACCGATCATGTAACCTATTCTTTGATGACCCGTTTTACGCCAGAATGCAAGAAAACGATTCACAACTTCCTCATTTTCAATTGATATATTGTCTACATGTCGAAAACGCTAAAAATTAGAGAACAAATATACTAAACACTGCCTTATTTCATTGGAAAAATCTAAGATATATAACCTTTCATAATCTTCAATACTGCTGAATGCAAGAAAATTTTCTTGAATAAAGATTTAAGAAACCTGTCTATTGAGTGTAATCATCGGAGGTCGACATTTGCTACATATACCTTGTGGGTAAGGTTTATGACTTGGACAGTTGGGTTTTAATGAACAAACAATATTTTCTAGAGGTTTTTTCAGTTGCGTTCCTTTACCGTGACCAGCGGTCATTTTACGCACATATGCATGAAAAGACATATGTTTAATATCCTTTTTTTTGAGGTAGTCTTCATCATACGGCTGAAAGAAAGTAAATAAAAAGTCCTTCAAACATTACCAAAAACAGCAATAATTAAGCTATAACTTTTATGAATTACTGCAATCGAGTAAAAGAATGAGATGTCTAAATATATATCTGACATCTGAGGACTTAGTTATGAAGGAAAAATCGTAGCCTAGATGTGATAATCACATTTTCAAGCATATCTCCAATAATTAGCGTGAAAAGCTTACATCTAACGGCAAACAGTGGGTGCATTTTTGACGTGTGCCGTGATGACACATGTGTGGGTCCCTCTCTCGTATAATCATTCCATCTTGCTTTGCAAGATAATCATCCACTTCATCGAATTTTTCCTCAAAATAATATACGATAATTATAGCTAATACATTAAAATACGGAAGTTTTCCTTGCATAAGAACTTGTGCAGCTGTTAACATGTAAAAAAGTTAACATGTAAAAGTGTCATGTGCTGTAGTGAAGAGAAAAGACAAACCATTAGTGATGCTTCGAGCACCATACTTAGAATTCTTTTGCAATCCTGAAATTACAACGTGTTCAAGTAAGACGCTCTCGACAAATTCCTAAACTCTTAAACGTAACAAAATCACTAACATCATGATAGATTGCGCCCTCACTGAATGCAACTATTTTTTGTCTCTGAGACCCGGGCATCCACAAAGTATCAATCAGCCTCATCAGGGTTTAAAAAGTTGATCCGTAGTCAGTCAGACAATATCGTCTTCCTTCCCTGTCTATCAATTATTAATTGAAGTAGAAAATATCTATTCATTGTTAAAAATATTTCGGTCTTTTCATGGGGATATTGTGAATTATTGATTTCTGTACACTTCTTATACTTAAATGGTGCTATAAAACAAATCGATGATTAAAGTAGTCTTAAATGGTGCTATAAAACAAATCGATGATTAAAGTAGTCTTAAATGATGCTATAAAACAAATCGATGATTAGTCTTAAATGATGCTATAAAACAAATCGATGATT